GCAGGTGTCCAGTTGCTCATGCATCTTTACATGTTATTTTCCTTGCAGAGGGAACGGACTCCATCACAATAACTGTCAATCCATGCTGGTTATCATGGATGTACAGTTTTACAAAGGCAACACAGTCTTCCATTGAGGGATCTGTCCACTGCAGGTTCATCCCAGTGAATGATACCTCAGGGTCATCTCCTTCTTACTTTGTCACATGCCAAATTTCACCTCCAGTGTCTAAAACTGTGACTGTAAATGGTGCACTTGTGCATCCATTAGCCTCTTATGTCATTGCCTTTATCCCAGTGACTTCCTCTGCTAGTAGCTGGGATACTCAAGTGTTTATTGAGAGATGCCCTTTTGCCACCAAAAATGTTCATTCTGGATATGTTCCTCATGGCATGGGGAGTGCACTCTGGCTCAAGGCATGTAGAGTACAGGGATATTGGTGGCTTTGAACTTGCCTTGCCAGAGTGCATGGAAAATTTGCAGTCTGCTCTCTGAATGGTCACACGCCCATGGAATGATGGACAACTGTGATGTAGCACGTAAAGAGGAAAAGGGGAGCTCTCCCTCTTTGCATTATCTGAAGCTTGTCTGGGTATGAAAGTCAGAAACATTTTGGGAGATTTGGTCTAAAAACCTGATTGGATGTCTTTCAGGAAGGAGGCAAACCTGGCATAGACCTCTTTGCCACTCAGGCTAACGAGATTCTCAAATTTTTGTGAGCTGACACATTTTGCTCAAAGGTGGCTCAGTATTTGGAGTCCTTCTCTAGTGTGTTTTTAATACTATGGTTTCAGCTACTACAGGCTTTTGCTCTTGTTCCATGTCTTCTGAAGGCCCCCATTGCTGTAAGATGGACCTTGCTGATCTTAATTGACCAGAAGCTGGTTTAGTTCCAGGACTTTCTTCAAATATTCATGTTAGAATTCCATTTTAACCAGGGAATTAGACTCCAGCTTTTCTTTCCCATGCCATACACTCTAAGCCTATATACTCCTCATCTCCTTAGTTGGGTGTCCTCTCTCCTTTTATCTTTACAGGTACAAACCTTTTCAATCCTGTTAGAGGCTCTTCATCCCTGGGAAATGCAGTATTTGGTTGTCTCTACACAATAAAAGGCAATGATGGGTTGAATCCTGACTTGCTATTAGATTGCCAAGGTGGAGTCTAATGAGGGCTAGTGTGCATCTGACCAGAGCTTAGGTGGCTTCACCCTCTGCAGTCAGGAAGGTTTTGATTCCAGATACTTGCAATGCAGCTACCTGGAGATTCATCCTTGCCTTTGCCAGGCATAACACTGTCTGCAGTGCTTCAAGAACTAATGCAGCATTTGATAAAGTAGTTGTGCAATTCCTACTTGCATGAAAGATATCGAGACCTCCACCACGTAATGAGTCATTGGGGGTAGCTGCTTGGATTCAGTCACTGTTAAGAGTGCACATGGGATTCATTCAAAGAAAAAAAGATGTCTTACCAGTAACCGGTGTTCTTCACAATGTGTAGTCCACATACACATTTGTCTTCCATCTGCTTCTCCTCTCTCCTCAGAGTCCTTCCAGGTATGAGTCCTGTGATTGAGAGGTAGAATTGTTAGAATGTACATTTGGGCTACACTTCTCAAAGAGCATCGGTTACTGGTAAGTAACCTTTCTTTTAGTTTTAGATTGTTCTTAAAGAAGAGCTGAAAGAATCATCACCTTTCTGTATTTTCACTGCTTCTGCTTCTGTCCTGGGGTCAGAACTCAATTACTGTTCTGAATCTCACCCACAGAAGTTAGATGAAAAAAGGTCCTAAGGTTACATGATCCACTAAAAAAAAAGACTGTTCCCTGGTGTACCTTTCCTTTTTCTGTTTAGTTATTTAATTATACAATATTCCTCATTGTCAAAGAGGTAATTACTGCTGGCCATGTATATCCACAAGTGGTTTTGTGAAGAGTATGTTGATGGGTTAATACAAATCATGTTCTTTTAAACTTTCACACTCTGAAAACCCTATTATTACCAATTTGCTGAGAGTTACCTTGGAGAACTGTCACAAATAACAACTATCTCTGGGCTTGACTGACTGACCGGTAATGCTGCTTGTTATGATTAACTTTCAACATGTTTCGATGTAAATTTTTCATGTTTGGTTTATTACTTGAAAATTCTTTCTGAATGTCACGAAAGTATAATATATGCATCGATGAATCTAGAAAGAGAAGATGAATCTAGTAGAGAAATGGCCTCCTGCAAAGGTTATTTATTCAGGCTGAGTAAAACACCATCCGCAGTAAGAATAAGTCATTTTGGTACAGCATAGTTTGCCTTCGAATTGTAAGTTAATTTAATTTGGCCATCTTCTTAATTAACTAGCTATGCACCAAGTAAAGTTTCATCTAGTATTGTGAATATATTTTCTTTTAGATTTATAAAAATAATTACATATGTAATTTTCCAAACTGTCTAGTGAGAAGTTTCAGCATTTAAACATAAAAGAGAAGCTCTGTGTTGAATAGCGCAGCCATAAATGTCACATTTCTTTGTACTGATATCTGATTGCAGTCATGTATTAGATCAATGGAAGCAGTGCAGATTAGTCAGTTTTTTCAATTACTGATGTTTTCTCTTCAGAGGAGGCCAAATCCTTTACTGAGGATGATGTGAGTTAGTTCTTTGAAATCAGCAGAGTTACGCTGATTTATACCAAATAGGATCTGGCCTATAGTATGTAGAAAGTAATCAAGCTACATCCATGCATAACTAATATTTGAGATCTTTTGTAGCTGTAGTATACACTTACTTTGACTGATGAAGCTAGAAAAAACATTTATGTATTTACCTTCCATGGTTAAACTAATATAGTGTAAGTGACAATTGCCATGAGCCTTGCTTTGAAAGTGGGTATAATGCAAAATCACTTGGTAATTCAATTGTTCATGAAAGTCAGAGTGTTTGCATGTGCATTGTTAGTACAGATGAAGGAGAAATGTTCCTACAGTACACAATTTAAAAAGCAGTCTTAAACTTGCAAAAACATTGCAATTAGAAAAAGAGGCTGAGGCTTACCTTGGTTGAAAATTTTAAAAAAACAGTAATGATTTTGAGTGCCTCCATCTTTGATCTCCAATTTGAGATTTTTTCTTTCAAAGACTCCTTAAAATCAGACCTTTTCAGATGTTTAAAAACAGGTATCCAGGCATATTGGCAAAGAAGAATTAAAAATAAAGAATCCTGTGTGTGTTTGAATATGGAAATGCAAAACCAGACTGGAGATCCCCTTGCCACACATCTTTTCTGAAGCATGCTTACCAGTTTTGCTTCTCCCTTTGATACATGCTCCTCAAGTTGAGTTCATTGGAAACATCACCAGTAACCCTGTGCAGACAAAGGTTTCTGTATAGTTTTGAAACTTACATTACAGGTACTGAATCCTAAAGTGTGAAGAAATAAAGGTGTCACTTGAAAAGCAAAAGTTCTTCTCTTTTTATACAGAAAAAAGCTCTGAATAAAGCATCTGGAGATAGTTAAGAATCTTTATGTTAACTATTAAAGCTTATACTTGTAACTGTAATTGATAAAGAAAGTCACATACTGCACTATTCCACATTGTAGTGTTCATTTTATGATAAGACAGGAATGAAAACTAAATTTCAGGTAGTTTAGGCACTCCTTACTTTCTTATGGCATTAATTGTAGGTTTAAAAATGCACACACATGTAAAACCACTCTAATCTATACAGGCATTTAATTGGAGATTATGTCATAGCACCCTATGTATGTGTATACATTCATGTCAATTTATTTCACTTTTATAGATAGGTCATTTTTAGTATAAGGTATTCTTACTAAAATCTTTAAAATGCATTACTTGCAGTAAGTACACACTGCTTTCTGAAATAACACAATTTTTAATGGTAATGACTTTGTGGAAAAAATACTTTTGAAGTCATTCCATAATGGATACGCTTTCAAAGTGCTGCATAGAGGCAGTGGTACAAGAGCCTGTGGGGTGCTTGTCTCCCAGAAATACAGGTAGATTTTTCATATGAAGATGATTGCAGGAGTACTGTTGGTTATTTGCTGGTAGAGGAGTGAAGGATTCTCCTGATGATGCCGTGCAGGTGAAGTACCTGACAGTGGATTGCTGTCTTTATCTGAGGTGTGAGTGAATGTCTCTGTAAGAGCCTTTCTTTCCACAGTACGGGATTGTCTGACTCTCTCAGAAAAGGGCTTTTCCTCTTTTCTTTTTGTTAAATCACATTTAGCTTTTGTCTTTGTAGCCAGTCAGTGGTCAGTCCAGGGAATTTTTAACACAAAGATGGGAGAATATCAGTATGTGGTTAGAACAGCCCTCTCATGTTGGTACAGACTGAAAAGTAAAAATAATGTGTTCAGAATTAGTTAATGGGAAGAACATGAATGAAATTTCCACAAGTATCTAGTCATCATTTCCCCATTCCCACATTCAGATCACTTTTAGTAAATGTGTTTGCATGTATAATTAAAATACTAATTTTTTTACTGTTTCATTTAATTTTGTCATTTAGTTTCACTATGAATATTTATATTATTTTAATATTTTTCCTAACATTTCTGCAAAACTGAATTTTCAATAATCTTAGAGTATTTCTGTTCCAAAACTTAAATGTCCAATAAAAGGATTTCTGTTAGCTACACTGAAAACTGTTAGGTCTTTCCTGTAAGTCTCTGTGGGACCAAGTATTTTTCTGTTTTCTGTGTTATAAGCTGTAGCTTTGGTTACACTGTAGCCAAGGCAAAATACTGGTATCTCCTTAGTACCTTTAGGGTATGATGTCAGCAGTTTTAGATTCCAAATGTCACTCTTAATGTGGAATGCCCTTAATAAAATATCATATTTTAGTAAAAAGTGAGAGAAAATAAAGATATGAAATTATAGCAATTTCAGTATGATCAAGATAAAATGCTACATACAAATATTTAAAAGAAACTATTTTGAAAATGAAGTATTCATGTTGTTCCAATACTATCATTTACAGACTGAAGAATTTACCATTCACTTTTACTAAACTTAAAGAACTTGCAGCTTTGTGGCTTTCTGACAACCAGGTAATGACTTTCAATATTCATATTTTCTTTAGTAAAGTACTAGGGGTCTTAGCAAGGGCCATAAATGAAACCTATAATTTAATACATGATTGTAGTAGAATTTTAGAAGTGTTTGCTCCCAGTCCAGCTTTATACTTTCCTATCAAGGTATAGATTCTTCTGGCTGTCATTTATTAATTTGGAAAGATCACCTTTGCAGGATTTATCACTTGCATCTAGCTAAGCTTCTGTAGTCTTGCAAAAGTAGTAAATAAAGGCCAGAAGTATCAGGAGAATATTTTGTAAATAGAAATTCAAGAGGTAAGACTTTGTTACCAAACTTGTTATTAGTCTGTCCCATCCTTTACTCCATCTATGCTTCCATTCTTGTTGTCTTCCTTTTCCCTTTTCCTGTCCATGCTTCCATTTCTGCACTTTTTAAACTCCATTAAAGTCAGTGGGAGTTTGAACATGTAAAAGGTGCACAAGAACTCTTAGTCTTGTTTTGGAAAAAAATCTCATTTAAGATCCTTTTAAACTTAAGTATGCATTTCTTTGTTCCAAGGGGTTTGGTTTCACTACTATATATTCTTTGAGATTCTCTTTTCAAACAAATTATGTAACATGAACACTGAGAAATGTGACAGTTCAGTCAGCATCTGAGCACTAAAGTAAGTCTCAATCGTTTCCAGAATTGGTGGATAGAATAATTTTGGACTTCCATAATTTAACTCTAAATGGAGAAAAACTCAATTTTTACAATGTTAGAAATGTTTGACATACCTAACAGTTTTTAATAATCTCAATAAAGTCTCATAATCTCATCTTTCTCACTTTGCAATAATGCCCATGGTCAGCTATTGTACCTCTTTAATTGAAGTTATGAGGATAATTCTTTAGGGGCCAATTATCATGCTACTGGAAATTAATCCATCCTTTTATCCTTATAAAAAAGCCACAGGGACTCGGGTCCTGCAGCTGCCTATTTGCAGGAGATCATGTGCGTACGCCTGTGCCGAGCACTGCTGGTTGCAGAACCACTCAGAGCAGAGCCCGTGCCTGTCCATGGGGCATGGCCCAGCAGACGGGGTCATTTCTTTGTCAAGATGT